AACAGCAAGGTATGGTGCCTGGTCAAGGGAGATTGTCCGATCGAGAATTCAACGGCCTGAAATATTTGGGGTGCACTTTTTGGCACATCTCGAGACATTCTTCTTGCTACCCAACCATCAGTTGCGCAAGCCACTGCCTTATGGGCAGAGGCTCTCAATCTGTGAGCCGTCTGTAGTTTTCCGCTCTCGTTTATGCTTATTTTCCCCCTGAGTTAATTTTACATAGAAATATTAGAGTGTTAGGGAATATGGTCGAACACACATTCTGTATGGTTGTCCACTTTCAATATTTATGTTGGAGACTTTAAGTCATACAGAGGGGTGTTTGGATCTGATTCTCAAAACTGATTCTGCTCCTTTAAGGAGCAGAAGCAGAAGCTGACATGTTTGGATGAAATTTCAGAAGCACTTTGAGTGCTCTAATTTACTCTCAGAATCAATTTTTTTAGAAGTTGGGGGGTACCAGCTTCTGAAAACTGATTCTAATTCTGCTTCTGCTTTAAAAAAGAAACAGAAGCAGAATCAGTTCCAAATACCCCCAGAGTACGGAGTATTATATAGGTTATGTAATGAACTAAAAAGTAACCATTATAATTAAAAAAACTTAATATCCATGTTGATTTTTTTGGGGATCATTATTATTTTATTTTTATCTATGTTGCTAAAATTATTTTAGGAGAACATGTTCTTATGTTCATATATATCATGAGTTTAAATATTGAAACATATTTATAATAATTCTTGTTCAAAATTGAATAAAACATCAATAGGTTATCATTAGTATTTTGTAATTAATCTTACTAATTAATGATTTTAGCATATCACTACGAACGCCAATTTTCTATATTTCATTTAGCATATAAAATCTTTTATATTAAAGTTCAAGTAAATCATGGTAATTTAATGATACCGTACTTCTACCGTACCAAAATTTTGGTATACCGAGTATACTGAAATATCTGTAAAGTAGTGGTATGTATTTTTGCATACAGAAATGTATGAAATGTATGAGATGTAATATCTGGTATACTGTATTGATCCACCCCTAATGTATAGAAGTATAGAACTATAGAAGGGTTCAACTGAGATCCATTTTATAATGAGAGTACTTTTTTTAAATGACACGTAGTAACTTTTACTCTAAAACCAAGGAGATGGTATCAAATGTGATGTCAAAACGGGTGCGTGTGCCGTCTCTTTGTTAGTCACTTTACATTCCTACCATCTTAGCAGGAAGTAGATGACCTTCAAAAAATGGCAACACAGATGGGGCAAAATCAGTAAAGCTGTCTAACGCCAAGTTCAGGACATCCCACAAAGAGAGGCAAATCCAAGTTCTGTACAGTTCTGAATGTTCTTGGAACCATCTTGTCAACATACAGAGTTCCCTCCAAGTGATCACACTCGTGCTGTAATATGCGTGCTTGCCACCCTGAAGCATCGACTTTGATTGGTTGACCTGTTTGATCTAAACCGGTAACCTCAACTTCCAAATGTCTTTCCACAACTGCTCTGAACCCATCAACACTGCAAATGACACGTAAAATAAAACACAAAAACACGCATAACTTTTCACATATAAAGTTCCCAACCCTCATGAGTCATGACTGATGAGGACATTGACTAACTTAGTATATGTTTTTTTTCAATTCGAAGTTCGAACGCATAATCAAAACTTCACCCTCTTTAGGTTGGATATGTATTGGTGTTTATCCTATAGATAAATACATTTGAAAGCAGCAGTACTTGAGGTAGAGCTCATCTAACCACAAGGATCATGTATAATTTCGGATACTTAAGTTGCTTCTAACTTACCTTAAACAACCTTCAAAAAACAGCGCGGTTTTGTTTCCTTTCTTTACAAGTTTTGGATTGATAATGACCTGCAGTCAGACATAAAGAAAGAATCCCCGTTAGAACGCAAAGATTTCAATTATCACTAGCAAAAACAAACCACATGAAATTATGCATACCAGTAGATCAAAAGGACGTCTGTCCTGTACTTCAGTCTCTTGTTTTGGAGCATAACTTATATATTCTTTTGTATCCTCAAGCACAATAATCTGTCAAGAATTAGAATAAATAACAATAATTATCTCACTTTCAGATTAGTACCATACTACCATGTAGTACAGGTTTCAGCATCTCATAGACTCATCACTCACAGAGACAATGTAGAAAGTAAAGTATGCCATTCTTTAAGTTTACAGCCCACTCCAGTTTTTCTAGCTCCTAAAAACGTTTAAAATGCTAAAATTACGTAAAATTCATGTGTAGCTGTAAATAGTAGAAAGAAAAAAGTTAAACCTTGATCAAGTGCGGATAACTGTTACTGTGGTACAGGTATTGCATATGGCCAATTCCATAGTGTGGGAAGTTCATGGGAGATAATATAGATCTAGAGGATGAGGAGAGTTTAGAATAAACATGACCTCAATCCCTAAAGATTTTTCTAAAATTTGCAGTTTTTGGTAGGTGAACTTAGCACAAGGATAGACTACAATTAATTCTTTACAACTACTCTAGAACAATTTTGCTCAGTAAGGAGTGTAAGCACCAAGCTCTATTCTGCATATGTAGTTCAGTTTAAAGTGTATGTCCCTTGAACAGATTGTAATTATAGTCAAATTTAACTGTACGTCCAGTTCTTGGCCTTCAGGAATGGGATTCTAGAAAAAAGATGCAATTTTTTTAATCTGCACTTTCTACACACAGAAGTGTTAGAGCAGAAAATCTTGATTGGCCATTTCTAACTACAGCAACTGGGAATGATCAGACATAAAAAGAATAGGCAATAAGCAGTTATAACTTATAAGCGTCTTCTCCGACAAACCTTCAAGGGAATTCCAATTTGAGGAGCAGCAAGGCCAACTCCAGGCGCTGTTCGCATAACCTTTACCATATCGTGTATAATCTTCTGAATCCGCTCCGACCCGATTTCATCCGGAGCAACTTCCTGGGCAGGCTCGTGGAGAACTGGATCGCCAGCTTTGACAATGTCGGGCAAAATTTGTTTCTTATCCCTCATGCCTAGAAACCAACCCGCTCTTGCAGTAGCAGCAGAAGAGCGATGGCTTCTTATGAGTGTTAAGTTGGAACACATAACCCGATTAGCATGACGACTACCGGGTCGGAATACGGGTTTCTCAGCATGGTTCAGCCTTACGGTTGTGTGGAAGGAGAGTGGGGAAATGGGGCAGGCTTTGAGGAATTCTCTGGTAAAGGGTTTGGGGAAAACGCGGTGGGTGAGCCGGTGGATGCTCTCCATGGTCGACTGCACTAGTGCACTCTATGACCAAGATATGGAGGAGCTTAGCCAAGGGCCCAAGAGAAAGAATTTGGTTGGTCCTGTATAAAGAATTTTTTTGACAACTTTTTACGGGAGAAAGACCTAAATAGGATTAAAAAAGAAATAATTACATAAATATTACCAAAATAAAGATGAATTACAAAAATATGACTACTGACTAGAGTAGTAATGAAATCATAGTAATTCATGTTCAAGTTTTGAGTTTAAGCTACCACAACACCACATTGTAGTAATGAATAGTCATATTTATGTAAATATGTTTTATTTTGGTAATATTCTTGTAAAAAACCCTTAAAAAAAGTCTTAGGAATGTAAATAGGAGTTGAAAGTTTTAAACTCCTATATAGGACTAATTATGAACGGAGGGACAAAATTGCCCTTAAACATGCCCGCTTTGACCGAGAAAATATATGCCGAAGATCAATAGAAGAATGATGTGCTTGACCGAGAAAATATCAAGAAAGATACTCGAGCGAAATACTAAGTTTAAGGCACCTGAAACTGCCCACACAGAGTTCTAGATAGAGTTTCTTATTCCCTTCTTATATTGTAATTGGATTATTGAGGACGAGCTAAGTGTAGCTTCCTTGGGTTGGGTAACGTGTGTTGTGAAGCTAAGAGACTCTCTACCCGCAAGATAGAGAAGCATAACTCTTCCTAGAGAGAATAGAGTTGGGGTGGCTCAAGGGTAGACTAGGAGAGTTTCCCTTGTAATCATTCAAAGGTTTTTTAGTAAAGTTGTTAAAATTCCTCAAAGGGAGGTCGATATTTTTTAATCCCTTTGAGCGAAGGGATTTTTCATCGTTAAATCCTTGTGCACTTTACTATTTCACAATTCTCTTTACCCCACACTAGAACTTGGTGAAAAACTGTCACGGTTCTACACACACAATTCTCTTGTGTTGCTAACTGTTTCATCAGTGTGGTCGAGGTTTCATCACTAAACTAGGTTTAACAGTACACCTATTATTATCATGTTATTTCAGAAAAGGGAAAACTATCAAATAGGCCCTCGCAGTATATCAAATAAGTCAATTAAACCCTCGAACTAAACGAACACCCAATTAAATTCTTGAACTATACAAAAACGTTCAAATGGGTTACCTCGGTAAGCCGGTTATGATGCCTACGTGGAGTCTAATGTTTCTAATTTATTCCTTTTCTTTTCAGGGATAAGGGTCAGATAGGGCCTCGAACTCGAAAAAAAATGTCAAATAAGGTCATATTTCGGATGCTCTGTCTGGCCGACGCCATTTGGGGCGGTTCCCGATGGAATTTTTTGATGAAATTTTTTGAGCATCTTCCTCATTAAGTCTAGTTTACCCATACCAAATTTCAGCTAAAAATTCAACCGGGAAGGTAGTCAAATAATTTTCCGAAATGTACGGCGTTGTTTAACTTCACAGTTATCTTCAAAAACTCATTTGACTACCTTCCCGGTTGAGTTTTTAGCAGAAATTTGGTATGGGTAAACTAGACTTAATGAGGAAGATGCTCAAAAAATTTTATCAAAAAATTCCATCGGGAACTGCCCCAAATGGCGTCGGCCAGACAGAGCATCCGAAATATGACCTTATTTGACATTTTTTTCGAGTTCGAGGCCCTATATGACCCTTATCCCTTTTTCTAATTTACGTTCTTTCCTTCTTCCGCCACATGTTCCTTCTTCTTTCTTTCTTACAGCGGTGACCCACAAGTCAACTTCAATCTATTACTCTGTATTTCTTTTTTTCCTCCTTTCTCCTCTTTCTTCGTCTTCTGATCCGACATCCCCTCTTCTCACTTCTTCCACTCCATTTTCCTCCATTGTTTTTTTTCCTTCGAGTAACGTTGGTGATAAGGGGAGCAGTAGAACCGGCTGGCAAGGTGGAAGACTTGGGCAGCAGCTCTTCAGCTTCCTCAACGGCGACGGAGACGCAGCTCATCGTCGTCCACGACGTAGAGTGGCAGACGAGCTCTTCACATTCGAAGAAGACATGGCAAAGGTGCAGATGGAAGTCCACAATCTGGAAGATAAGGCCAATGGTTGGTCGCTCAGAAATTTGGGGCTGAAGGATCCGGCGAGCCGGCAGCCCGGCCGTCGAGGAAATATCTTGGGGCGGAGAGGGTGAAAGCTCAGAATGGTAACGATGGGAAGGTGGATTCAATATGCCTGCGTCCAGTGGCGGAACCAGAAAAATAATGTCACAGGATCCCTACTTCAATGTAACTCTACTTAATATTACATTTCTTCCGAAAAAGTTAGCAATATTAATTTTTCTTAGTAAATAATAGCAAATTTTGGATACCGACTTTAATCATTATATTTAATTTGTATTTAATTTACAAATTCTATATTTTTACGAAAATATTTTGAATAAAGAACATTTTGACATATTTTTCATATTTTAAATAATCTCTTATTAAAAAAATATCATTGGTGAAAATTAATTGTAACTGATATGCGGACTGTGGTTTAGGATTTTTAAAGCCAATACAACGTAGTTTTGATATTTTAGAATAATAAATAGAGAAAATAACTTTACGTAATACCCCGTTACCAACTATCTTCCATGAATCAAGAATAATACATAATTTTGAAAAAACTTTCAATAATACCAACTATTTTAGTGTAGAACCAAATAAAAAGGAGTCACTTTTTTACAAGAAATCCAGTCATTTAAAACATAAAAAACTAATATCAACAATAAAGAAATGAAATTTGAAAATACGGTGACCTATTTGAGATTTTGTTATTAGTTTTTGATGAATTAAATTACTGATTTTTTACAAAAATAATCAATAATTTTGAAAAAACTTTCAATAATACCAACTATTTTAGTGTAGAACCAAATAAAAAGGAGTCACTTTTTTACAAGAAATCCAGTCATTTAAAACATAAAAAACTAATATCAACAATAAAGAAATGAAATTTGAAAATACGGTGACCTATTTGAGATTTTGTTATTAGTTTTTGATGAATTAAATTACTGATTTTTTACAAAAATAATCAATAATCGAGATTATTGTTAAGACCTGTAATGGTTGAGATTATTATTATTCACTTTTTCCTAAAAATCATTTCTAATAAATGTCTTTTTTCCCTAATAAATCTAAAAAAACATAAAAATATGATAGGGGATTCAAACCCCACACCTCGAACAAAGAGAAGGATTTCACTTCAAGCACACTGCCATGTCCCCAGAATAAATATTGCGAACTCATCTAGCCTTTGATGTATATATATATTCTTTTATTCATTTATATAAATATATACTACGTATATATATAATATACGGAGTATATAGGTACTTTTTGGAAATCCACGGGTCCCGGGACCCCATGGGACCCTTAGTGGGTCCGCCACTGCCTACAAGAAAGAATGAACAAGAAAACGTTGACTGCAAGAAGAAAGAAGGGGCGGATGTCGGCAGAGGAATAAAGAAAAGTTAGAGATGGAAAGGAAATAGAAAAGAAAAGGAAAGGAAAAAAATCAAAAAAGAAAGTAAAATCCACATAAGCATAAGCAATATAACCGGATGACTGGGAACTGGGAAGTTACCTGCCAAATCAGACATTTGAACATATTTGTATATTTCAAGGGCTTAATTCGAGGATTTAATTGACTTTTTTGATATACTACGAGGGCCTATTTGATAATTTTCCCTTCAGAAAATTAGATCTTGACTCCTACGTTACAATGATGATCTTCTCCTAAAAACATCTATAGTTCGATGTCAATCTTTTTATAAGGTTAAATGTTTTAATGATTGCATTTTTTATTTCTTAAGAAAAGATATATATGATAAATAAAAGTTGTGCATCATACCCTATTTTACATAAATAATACTCCATCCGCTCCATTATGGTTGTTCTAATCCTTTTTGGATTGTCCCAAAAGAATGTCATGTTTCCCTTTTTGGCAAGAAATATGTGGTCTTTATCATTTCACTTTATTCTACTTCAATCTCAACCATACCATTTACTTTTCAACCACTTTATTAATAATCGTGCCAAATTAACACAGGGCAACCAATACGGAAAAGAGGTAGTGGTGTATCAAATTCCAAATGTTGAAAGTTTGGTAAAAAAAATATCATGCTCCACCAATGATTGTTAGAAAATATCCAACCGTTATTAAGTGAAATTAATTGAATAAGCTAAAAGAGGTAACTCATAACTCATTGAAATCTTGTGCATGTATGTAATGTGTATTACCACTTGTATAAAAGCGTTTGTAGTGCAACAAATTCTACGAAGAACAAGACATTTAACAGTCGACAAGATGGTGCAGTTACCAAAAAGCATTTACTTGGCTTTGCTAATCACTCTTGCCACAGGTATATCTACAATATATTCTATAGCTTATGTTTTGTTCATGAGGTAGCCCCAAATATGTAACTTTGAGTGGAATGGAACATCAATAAAGCACATTAGAAACACACAAATTCGTATCCACGTCCAATAGAGTTTGAAATTTATTTAAAAATATATAGATATGCTTAAGGAATTTTATTTCTTTACAAAACCTGTTCGGGTGTTCTAAAATATCAGAATGATTTATAAGCTTGAAAATGAATAATCGGTACACAAAGTATATTATATGGATCTCTTAATACATATATATGATAGAACAATGATATTTGTATCCCCATTTTGGTAAGAATTTAATAGACAATAATTAAAACCATATTTATTTGTGTCTCACTAAACGAATTGTATTCCACACAGAAACATTCAGCATGCAAATGTGTCAGTACTTTTTAGTAGGGAAATTTACTACAATATGACTAAAACTCGATGAGTTTCCCAATCTATGACTTAACTGGTTTTTAGATTTATCTATGACCAAAAATCCAAAGAAAAAGAGAAATCTCGTTTCTATTTAAAGGTTGAATGACCAAAATACCCTTATTTAAAATATGTGCATTTTGCACTAATTTTGTTCAATTAAAATTACTGCACTTTATATTGCCGTTCATGCACGACATTAATGCATGACTTTACTGCACATCCGGTAATAATCACTGCACTTCCGCAAAAATTAATTCTCTTCTCATTTATTTGGGGAATTTATATTTAGTTTTTAGTTTTCTTTTTTTAGATTTAATAATGTTATTATTTTATGTTGAATTAAGTATATTGCATTTCATAATGATATTACTGCTTTGTGTTACTGCACACCAAACTTTCTTAATCACTCAACATATATATTACCATATTCCCTGCCATATTCAACACTTATTGCCAGTTCTATGCCAATGTTCAATGCCTATGTTTCATGCCTAAAAATCATAAATTTACTCACCGTACTCAATAATATTTATTATCATTTTTACTGCCTATATTTAGAGCACATATTCACTGCCCATGAAAAATGTGATTGTAGTGTAGCATGTAAATCAGTAAATGAGTGGTAAATTCATTCCAAAATGGCTAAAATAGATACGAAGGCATTCATTATAGCTAATACTCGTGTGTAATTGTAATTTGGCCACTCACAAAAGTGAAGAAAAGAAACCTCAAAACAGATAAAAGTACTTCGTACTAAATTTGAGCGACAACCTTAGCCTTAGATCTAATCCTCCATATCTCTTATTGCGTATCACAAACAGAGCGGCGAGTGCTCACTCTCAAACGCTATCAACGGATCTCTCCACTTCTAACCTCACACTTCTTTTTCCTGTTCGAAATCGATTTATCAATTGCGGATGTCAAACGGTGGTTGAACGGCTGGACGATGGGACAGAATCAAGGAAATCGTGGCCATGAGAAATTGATCCCCAAATCTGCCAGAACCACCGGAATCAAAACCTACTCGTCCTAATCTTGTTGATATGGATGAAGATGATAAAGAGGCTAGATGAAAGAGGCAGACAGTGGCTGGGCGGAGATGGCAGGCGACTGGGCGGCGATGGTAGACAGCTGGACGGCAGAGCAAGGGAGACTGGACGGACTGGGCGGCGATGGTAGACGGCTGGACGGCAGGGCAAGGGAGACTGGACGGCAAGTGGGCTACAAGTAGGGTTGGAGAATGTTAGGGTTTTATAATGATAATCTAAGGGCATATTAGTCCATATAAAAAATTTAATTAATTATTTATTAATATATTAATTAAATATTACAAATTTTGGTATTATTTTAGGGGAAAAACTCATTAAGTCATAGATTGGGAAAATGGTGGAGTTTTAGTCATACCTAGGGTAATTATCTCTTTTTAATATCTAGTTAGTAATTATGTTGTTCTTTATATACAACACTCATATATTTGTTTGCAGTTAACCTTATGATTCCGGAAAATCTCTATGTCAACGGTGATAAAACTTGCTATGTTGATCCGGTAGATAAACATCTCCCGTGTGAAGGTGCAGTTCCGTTGGGGCAAATTTGTATACCCACATGTATTAAGCAATTTGGACCAGGTTCATCTGGAACGTGTTCATGGGATACTCCTGACAAACACTGTCGCTGTTATTATGTAGCACCTACATGCCCTTAATTTTTCTTTATAAGCAATTGTAATAATGTACCCACATTCCATTCTGTTAGTTTAGTTATAAAAAGGAAACTTTGTTTTCTCATTGTCACCAATGATAAAAGGTGTGTAGTGTTATGAATCATTAGTTCATCTCGAATGTGTTCATGAGATATTCTCGACAAACATTGTACGTTGTTGTTATAATGTAACACCTACATGTCCTTAATGTCTCTGTGCAAGGAAATTGCTAGAATGTATACACATGGCATTTGGCTTGTTTAGTTATCCAAGAGACTATTTTTGGTCACTTTATCATCTATGATAATACATAGTTGTGTTCCGAATAAGTTTCTCTTACCATTTTATTTAGTTAGCAAGCAAATGTTTCCAACCAAATAAACAACTTCACATTGTAATGAGTGAGAATCCGAATAATTCTCACCAAGGTGCACAACCACTCCCAACCTCCAATCCCCATAGTCGGTGTATACTTTGGTTCATATCCCATTTTGTACTTCCGAATCTCCCATTTGTTCATAAGGATAACAAATACGACTGAATATATGTTCACCCACAACTTGATAGTTTTGACAACGTCTTATTTTTTTTCATTGTGTTTCCACTGGTCGGTAGAATAAATCTAGGAGGCGATCGATAAACGTATAGAAATCGACTTGTCATTTGTCAATGGCCGCAATATGATGTTATATAAGATCTTATAACATCACACTAAGCTTTCCATTGGCATAGAGGGGTGTGGAATAATCTTATTAGGATTTCAACACCTTTAATTCTATGTCAGTAGATCATTATTCATTTAAATGGAATATCGTTTAAGAATAA